CACACAGCCACACGTGTGCAGGCCGCCCCTCCGACCCCGACACACGCTAACGAGCCATCTTTAATTGCTTCTGATGACCTCTTGACAAATAAACATTTATTAGAAGCGCTACAACTTTTCAGGCCGGCCTCAAATTCATCATAAGATAAAAACTTGGCTCCAGCACAATTTAACGCCATTTTGCCTGAAGTGATCCCGGTCTCTACTCAGCCTGAGGCGAGTCACGAGTGAGGCAGGACAGGAAGCCGGAGTCAGGAGCACAGGAAGTCAGAAGGGATGTCATGCTGGACAAGAATCAGAGTCCGAACAACATTTTTTCATATTCGGACTCGAGTCCGAATAGTCACTTCGTTTACATTAACCTGTGCAAAGGCAAAGGGGAGGTAAAAGACTCTTGTAACTGAATCATGATTGAGATCGTCTCATTTTTTTGGATGGACTTCTCTGACATCGAGCGACCTCCCCAACTAAAACAAGGGAGGACTTTCATAACGAGAGACCACTATGAGACAGAGTAGAATAGAGGGGTAGGGTTTGGGATAGGGTTAGTGTTAGGTCTCTTCCTATTACAATATATGTGTTTGTTGGGGTGGTCGCTCGTTATGGAAGTCCTTCCTAAAACAATAAATCAATAAAGAAGAGACCTAACCCTGACCCTATCATTATCCCTAAACTTATAGCCCTAGCCTGGCCTAACCGTAGCCTCATCCCTACCCCCTTTCTATCTATTCTATTCATAGGTCTCAATATTCCGCTATTTAGCGGATTTCCACTACCGCCATTTCCTCCGCTACCGCGACAGCGGGTCAATCAGAAAGATTGTTGCTGGGAGCAGAGTGACTGCCAGGCCTCGGGGATTACCCGGGAATTTGAAAAAAAATCGCGGAGACACGGGAAAATACATAAAAGATTAAGAATATTATTGAAAACCAAATCCGATAACGTCTTTAAGTTCATTTTTGCTGGTCGCGATTGTGATATTAATTCGGCTTTTCCCGGTCTGAGAGTACGTTGCACGCGAACAGGCGGCTATGGCGGCAAGCGGAATTGCATGTGACACCGAGGCTCGGCCGGAAAAATCAAGATCTCAGAAATTTGTCTGTAAAAGTCTGATAAAGCAACATTTGTAACATGCAGGTTCTGCATTACAAAAGTGGTGTCGCCATGAAAATAATGTTCGTCACTGTGCTGTCGCTCGTGGGGGCAAAGAAAAGAAAAGAAAGTTATACAAGCGTCTTGTCGGGCTCATCATTGTGACCGGTCAATGAACCTGCGCGCGTTCTGAGCGCTGCGAAGTACAGGACTCAGGAATGGGGGGAGATTATTGATTTTTTAAAAAAGATACACACGGGGATGGGGGGAGGGCTGGATGCAACACCAGAGGACAAAAAAAGAAAAGAAATTGGAAGCAAATTTTTAATATTTAGAATTTTAATCACTACTACAGCTCTCTGCAAAGTAAAGTACGCGTTGGTGCATGCCTTGTGTATAATGGGGATCCGTCATAACTACTTGTAAGCGTGTTAATGAACTTAGGGCAGGGGCGTAAGTGTTCGCGTTTCATTGGATGGGTGACAGTAAATTATGTCACTATATTTTAGCTTTTTGTTAAAGATTCACAGATTTTCAGTGTCACTGCATCTTGCCCTCCCACAGTTCTTACACCTCTCACACTGAATAGGTCTACTTGAGCTATTCAAGTTATTACTCTAATTTGAGTTTGAGCATTAATTTTGTCTTTCACGTTTATTGTATGAATCATTACACCCAGACTGGTTCATGACAGTCGATATTCTGGTTCTATTGGCCTTTTCTCGGGCTCAAAACAAGATTCATTTTTATATAGATAATATATGCAGGCGAATATGATGAAGGTAAAATATAAATATGTCACAGTGCGACACCACTTTCTGTACGTAATCAAGATTGTAAATATTTGGTAAGTGACTCTTACTTGAAATTATCTCCCAAACCCTCAAACTGGTATGAAATAACCTTACTTTGATAAAATGATGGTTTTTATTTCAACATTCTAGGATCCAACAGTATAATAATAGTGGGTGTCTCGTGAAAATGGGCTTCTGTCGCGATCACGCGGAAAGTTCCTCCTTTTTAAAAATTCTGAGTTGAGATCCATGTCTATTACTCTACCACTCTACCTATTTCATAGTGGCTGCTCGTTACGGGATTCCTCTCCATTTTTTAGTAAAGTTTTAGTGACCTCCTTGGGCATGGGAGTCACTTTCACAGTTAATATAATGTGATGAAACGTGACAGTTTTGTTCAGTGAAGGATTCCCTGATTGCAGTTATGAATTATGAATGCAAAGGCATTGAATGAGTGGTGAGTAGGGAAAAAGTAGAAAGACCGACTCACTAAGTACTGTGAATACTAGATCTATCATGTCAGGAATAGATCATGGAAGAGGCTAGCCGTACTTAATGATGGCTAGACTGGCAGTCTAGCTGTACTTATTCTTAATATGATGGCTAGACTGACCATTAAAAAAAAATAGGCCTACTGAATTGTAAATATAAATTTTTAGTGTGCAGTACCTAAAGTATTTGTATTTGAGACGAAACCAGGTGCCTTAATGACAGTGCATGTATTTTAAACCTTCT